GACTGACCGGCTGTTGCTCTGCCCAGCTATTGCAGGAGGCGCTGACGCCGGCCTCGGGCATGGCTTTGGGCGAGATGGACGGAGCGGGGTCGGAGCCAGAGGAAGGCAAGAATCAGGAGCCAGGCGTTGTCACCACGAGAAATATCCTGGAGAGTTTCACAGAGAGTCAGGAAGTCGGGGGGCTCATCGGTAACCTGAAGGGAGTCTGTGGGGATCTGGTGGCTCGAGAAATGACCATGGAAAAATTCATAGGTGAGCGCATCATCCAAAGGGGGGCATGTTCTTATATTGCTTAAAGGAATTTATTACCAAAACAGGACTAAACCGCTAATTTTGGATTAGTGATAATGCTGGAACTTTATCAACAGGTAGTTTAGATTTATTTTACTCATTTTGTTTTCCAGATATATATTCCATTATTACATAGTATTTAACTACTGTAAATAAAACCCCAGGTCTTGGATTTAAGAAATCTGATTTCTGACCCATGTTTAGCCGCCAGTTTCCTATTCAAATGCAGGCAAGAATTTAGTTAAAGTTTGTATGTCTGTCAAATAAAGCCATTTTTGTACCTGATTACTTGTTAAAAATGCATACATTTTGAGCTTTAAAGTGGTAATGTCATATTTTTACTTTTATATTTCATAGGAAATGTGAAGGGCAGCTGACTCCATACAGATCATGTAATTGTTTCTGAGTGGAGGCAACTTGGATCTGACTTAGTAGCTGAGCTTTTGTGCCATATAGTGAAAGCTGTTCTGCTTCTAGACCTCAGCTGAATATAGAAGTGGCATAATTACGTGCATGTAGCAGTGTCCTAGGTAATTAGCCTGTTATAATGCACATCTGTGTATTGAATCCAGTATTCTGACCAGATGATTTGCAAAAGTTAATTGAAAGTTTCATGTATTTACAAATCAAGTGGACTAGGCTCTTGTAAGTACTTTGCAAAAATGATGAAATTGCAGAAACTTACAGTAAAAATATTGATACAGTGTCTTTGTTTTTGACAAAAAGAAACTAGATAGGCAAACAATAAACCAGAATACCCAATATTTGGAAATCTGACCCTGCAGAAGTTACTCAGTAGAATTATACTCGATTGACTTAACTGAGTGTTCCATCTGAGGAGGCTAATGATGAGCATGCTCAGAAAGGAGTAGCAAGAGCAGTTATATTCGTATTGATTGTTCGGTACCACAGATGAAATGGCAGAATTTGATGGGATAGAAAAGCAATTACTGAAAAAATCTTAGCGTCTGAAAGGGCATCATCTCCTCCAACCAATCATCTTGCTATGCCTCTCTGTCTTTCATATCATATATACTGTCTCTGTGTATTTAGATTGTATTTGTGAACTTTCTGCATGCATCTCCACTCTATCACGTCAGTTCTTACGAGACAGATTGCTTTGCTACACACTGAAACCTGTGACTTGCACTTACTGGGAGCCGGTCCTTTGAAGGTAGGGGTTTATTGCTGTATGACAAGCATCAGAAGAGCGTATTATTGCCCAGTAAATACAGTGTTAGTATACTTAAAACTGATAAGCACTGTACACCTTGTCCAATATTTGGTTATAATATTTAGTGTCATAAGGTATCATTTGATCCTTCTTGGGAAAAATGTCGCAAATATGGTAACAGGCTAAATGTGTGGGATATAACGTTGAAGCTTAGGGAATACCTTAGGGAATATCTGTATGCAGATAACGCAGTAATGATCAGTCACA